CCGCTGGACAAACAAACTAGCTCTGGGTGCCGGGTGCCGGGTGCCGGGAGCCGGGTGCGGACCGCCGCGGCGGAGGGGGAGGGGACCCGCAGGCAGCCAGGCCTCCTGGGCGCAGCAGGAACCCAGAAGTGGCCGGGCTGCCAGACTACCTAGAAACAACGCCGGAGGGATGGAGGTTCGCGGCCCAGCCCAGAAGGAAAAACTAGGAAGGGAACGAAGCAGATTTTGCGGTTGAGCCGGGGGCCCAAGGGCAATGTAGCAGCGAGGAAAAGATGGAGAAAAGAGTGGAGGGTGGAGGAGAGAGTGAGAAATGAGCGAGGAAAAGGCACATGTGGGGAGGGTTGGTGGAGGGTGAGGGCGAGAGAAGAGCTATTTCTGTGGGGAAAGGGCAGAGCGATGGAGAAAAAAGAGCAGGGAGGCACAAGGGGCCTAGAGAAGAGGAATTGGAGAAGAGTCAAGGAGAGGGATGAGGTGACCAGAATGAGAACAAGGGGGTGACGGGATGGGCGAGAGGCGCCCCTGCCTGCGCCTCACCCTGCCTGCGCCTCACCCTGCTGCGCTCCCGCCCTAGCGCTCTCTCCAGCCGTCCGCACTCACTTTGTCACAATTACGGGGCCGTCACTCGGCCGGGATTGTTTTCCCCAAATTGTTCTATAAACTGGCGCGGGGTGGGAGGTGGGGGCGCGGTGGGGGGAATCTGACGAGCTGAAACCGGAGGGGAGAGTGAGCAGCTGTCGAGGGCATGGTAACATATTTACCCGCTACTTGGCCTTGGTTACTACAGAAACCAGTGCGGAAATTGAGTGTCACCCCAACCTTCATCACTGTTTCCGCTTTCCACCGTCTGCCCCCCCCCCCCAATCTTACTGCCTCGGTTTCCCCAACCGAACGCCGCAAGTGCAGAAGACTGAGGCGATGACCCGGCTTGGTCAAGACTTTCTTAACCTTTCCCCATCCTCTCTTGCGGCGTCCTCGAGCCTGCTAACCTCACAGGCACTCATTTCTAAGTGTGCCCACGTCCTCTCGCCCGCGTCGCTCGCTACCCTAGACCACCTTGCTGTTCCTCAATTCTGCAAACATCTGTTGCGCCCACTGAGCAAGAACTGCGCTAGCTTCCAGCTACCTCCTCCCCCTCCGCCCCCAACACCCGCCACCTCTTCCCCGCCAGCCCAGCCTGTCGGCTCCGTGACAGCCGCCGCCGAAGCCCGGGCCCCGCGGGAGCGGCCGGAGAGGAGACGCTGCATGGCTGGCTCCGACACCAGCCTCCCTCGCGGCTCCAGGGGCAACGGAGGATGGCGGCAGCTGAAGCGAGACCGGAGTCGGCCGCCGGAGTTGGCAGGGCTAGACGAGGGAGGGGAGAGGCCCTGGGAGGGCTTCTCTCCCGTTCTTTTCAATCCTGTCTTTCTCAGTCGGTCGCCCTCAGTCCATCCTGGACCCGGACCCTTCCCGCTGAGCGCGCCTGGGATTCAGTAGGTTCCCCAGTACACCCCCCACCCCCCAGTCCGGGTGATTTACACGCGAGCTCCGCTCAGCGGCCGCTTCCCAATCAGGAATATCGACCCCGGGCGGGGCCCTCGGGCCGCATCGATCCCTCTAAGGCTCGGGATTTAAAAATGTCAAATTTGCCTTTTCCAGGCGGGTGGAGGGGGCGGGGGCCAGGGGGAGGGCCGTTTGCAAGGGGGGTGGACAGCAAGGCATCGACCAGGAGTCTGTGCCCGGAATGAGAAGCGAAAGCAGCCGTGCCCTGGCATGGCCTGGTCATTCTTGGGTTCTCAATTGTGGCAACAAGGGAGTTCTACCTCTACTGATCCCCACAGCACTTCACTGTTGTACCAGGTTATTCCCAGAGGCGGAGCCCAAAGAGGAACAAAGATCACCCCAAATCTGGGGAGACAAATTAGATAGAGATCCCTAGCGGTCAAATCATAGGGGAAAGAGACAAAACTATAGAAGCCCCAAGACCAAGCTAGCCCTGGAAAAAGAAAGGCAAATGGAAGTTGTCTTCAAGGTGCCCTGCTTAAAGCAATGTTCCAAAGATCGAGGAGATTCAGTCCTGGAGAGGCCAGGCTCAACTTCTTGATGGGTTGAGAATGGCATGGGGTGGAAGGGTGAAGACAAAGCTGAGTGAGAAGAGATGATTGTAGTGTAGTGGTATTATCTTCCCAAGGTGTGAACTAGTAATTAACTAGGCCAGAGAGTCCAAAGACTGGGGTCTCCAGAAACTACTGCTTCTCTGGGCCCTAAGACATGGATTATCTTAAAGATCAAAAGATCTGGGCTTTCTCGCCCCGTGTATCACACAGGTGTCTGTCTGCTCAGTAGCCACTCTTTTCTCTCAGATTGTTACCAGCCAGGGAAGCCAGGACTGGAGATCATGTCTTATACTGGAGAATGTTTACACTCTATACATAGGGCATATACATAGGTCAAGCGCTCTCCCAGTGATCACTCCTGCAAGTCTAAGCAATTAGACATTGAGACTTTGGGGAGGGGAGAGTGTCCACTGCTTTCAAGGCTTGGGGAAGGTGCTAGAAGGGATCAGTTGTCACAGCACTCACAGTTAACATACCACACACCCTCGGGAGCACACCTCAGCTGTCACCTGTGTGCTACCATTTCCCCCAGAACTACAGACAGAACTGACAGCAAGTTGAAGGGAGCTCAGGCGTGGGGGGTTGTGGTGGCTCCTTCTCCACCCGACACATGAAGCCACACCTCAATGATAGAATCGGGTGTGTGTGGGACACATCTCTGGCACTGGTACACGTAGTAACTGGCGCTGATGCACCATCCACTCTATCAATCACTGCCACGCACACACCTTTGTCTGAGTGAGTAAGCACGCACAATTCTTCTTAGGTCAGGCACCAAAAACCCTAGTTATAAAGCCTGTTCTTTATCTTTTTTTTTTTTTTTTTTTGGTATCTGACCTTAAATCGCCCAATCCAAGGGCAAAGCTTGTCTCCATCTCCGATTTCCTAATACTTTAATTAAGGAAATGGCCAACAACCGGGAGGCCAAGTTCAAGGTAGTCAAGGCCAGGGTCGAAGTGAAAAACCAGAAATAGAGGGAGCGATGGGACTGTTAAACGCTCCCTTGCTCCTGCTTCTGCCGGTGGCCTCCTTCCCAGCACGTCCACTCGCCGCCCACCCGTCCCCTGTCCGCCTGTCAGTGGAGTAATGAATGCGTGCTCGGGGCCCTAGGCCCCCCCTGAGTCGTTCATCACTGCCAGCACCGCCCAGCTCTGCCTCCCGCTGGGAGGGCTCCGAGGCCCCAGCAGCAAGGGCCCTTCTCCCCCACCCCACCCCACCCCAATCCCGACCACTAATTGTCAGATTGAAATGTTGAGTTGTCAGCTGGGAGCCAGCGCCAAAGAATCTGCAGTAAAACCTGGACTCCTTGAACTTCCTCTTGGCTCCACTTGGGTTCGCTCGGATTTGGAGCATTTCTTGATTTGATATGGATGGTTTTGATTTTAACTCAGGAGAGCGGGGATAAGAAGCGCAGTGTCATTCTAGTACGATAGGAGGCGCCATAGGCTAGAGGTCTGGCATTTCTCCGAAAGGGATGGCGATGGCGTTGGGTTTAGTTCCATTTGCGGGGAGTGGAGATTCTAAAAGCTTAGTAGTCTCCTAGCAGGGGACACCCAGACACCCAGGACTTTGATCTCTCTCTCCTCTCTCTCTCTCTCTCTCTCTCTCTCTCTCTCTCTCTCTCTCTCTCTCTCTCTTTCTCTCTCTCTCCCTCTCTGTCTCACTCTAACTAGTTAGTCTCTACTTCCCCTCAGGAAGGTCTCGAACGACGGGTACCAAGTTCCCCTTAGGGGGATGCCCAAATTCCTTCCTCTTCCTGTGTTAGTGCCTCGGAGGCACGTTCACTCTCCAGCAGGAGCCGCACCTGCTGGAGTCTGCTCTGCCCGAGCCCCAGTGCCTGAGTTGCAGTCACAGCCCCGCCCTCTCCCGGGCTCCCGAGCTCCCGGGCGGCCGGCTGAGTGACGGGCAGCGGATGATTATGCGGAAGGGGGAGTGGGGTGCGCCGCGGGCGGCAGCGCTGACCCTTCACATTTCCGATCCGCCGGGACCCTCATCCATCCGAAGCTGCTCTTTGTCTGGCCGCCTAATTGCTGGCGGACAGGATGGATGGCGGGACCGACAGCCGCGGAATCCCTAATAAAGGCCGCGGCCGCGGGGGAGGGAGCGCAAGAAGGAGGGGGAGCAAGAGGGAAGGGATGGAAGGAGATGGCAGGAAGCACTGGGCTACCGCCGCGGGCTCCGAGGCGTTGCTTGCTGCGCTCACTGAAGCCAGGCTTGGTCCTGGGTGAAGGCAAGAAGTGAGGTCGACTGTTGTCCGAAGGCGGTGGGTTTGGGGCTGATAAAGTCTGCTGCATGTTAAAGAATGAAAAAACACTAGGGGCCCAGGACAGAAAGAGCATCCTAGGGCCTACATCATTTAACTGAGCCCTGGAGACTTGGAGAATGGCGCTTCTTTCTGGACTCTCAGCTCTCAACAGCCTGCACCCCTCCTTCTTTTCTCTGCACCCTATCCACCTCCTTTCACCTGTCGGTCTCCCGGCGAGGGATTCAATATCCCAGCAGAGAAATGAGGGACATGACAGCTGTCTGTGCAGTCAATTGCCACATTTCATTAACCAGACACTGGTGACTGGGGCAAGGGGTGGGGGATGCCAACTCAAAGGGAGGTGAAGTGGGTGCCGGACAGCAGAAGCCTCATCTGGATAGATATACAGGACTGCGGAAGGAAGTCAGCACTCGGGCATAACATTTTGGAAACACTCTACTGAGCTCAGCTGAGGAGCCTGAGTCCGCTCTGCTCTCAGGCCAGCGGGTCTTTGAACAAGGCTGTGTGGTGCACTAGGTCAAGAGGGTTGACTAGCTGATAGTGGAAACGTTGTCCTGGCGGCTGCAGGCGCCCTGGCCTTCGATGCAGGTACATCATCCCCAAAAGAAGGCAAACTGTGTGTGTGTGTGTGTGCCCGCAGGTCAAGCTTCCAGCTTTTCCACCCTGGTCACAGAGGGAGTGACCTGCGCCAAAGAAAGCAAAATTTCCCTAGCTTACTCCGCTTTCTCATCCCCTCCTTTTTCTGTGCCCCCTTCTCTGTCTGAATCCTCCTCTGAAAACAACTCTGTCCTTCTGTTAGCCAATATTTGAACCTTGGCGGGTGTCAGGGTTGACACCTGGAGTAGAGATTGGGGACGTGAAGTTAAGACTCCCTTGGAGTCAACATGTAGATTGTTGGGTCCCTATAAAATTCTCGCTGCCTACTCTGTTCAGCACCTTCACTGCCTCTGGGGCCACTGTCTCTTTTCCAAGCACTGGGAAGGAATCTGAAACATCAAAACTCCCGCTAGAAGAATAGCCCACCCGACTCCCATTCTAGGAATATCTCCTCGCAGGATGGTAACTAGACAATTCACTTCCCGGTTCTGGACCCCAGCTTCCTCATTGTTCACAGAGAGGAATAAAACACCCAAGTCCTAGGGATGCAATGAGGACTTGCATGTTAAAAACCCTAAAACGAAGCAAACATCTACAGTTATGTCCTGCCCCAGGCAGTGCCCTGTGCCCTAAAGTGGACAGAGTTCTCTCCTTTTTATACAGGGGGTCCAGTGCCAGACAACCCAAGCTGCTTCTGTCCTCCAAAGTGGAATAGAAAGCAAGAACATGGAGGGTTAGGGAGATTATCACTCCTACTGGCCCTGGAGAGGAGGAAAGGAAGGGGTTCTTAGATTTGGATGAGACACCAGCCTCCCACCCATAGATGAGGAAACTGAGGCCTGCAAGGTGATGCCAGCTACACTGCCAGCCTTCCCGCCCTCCCTACTGCTGTAAGGTGATGCCAGCCTTCCCACCCTCCCTACTGCTGACCTTCTCACCCCTTTCTTCCCTAGAGGGCGTCTGGGTCAGTGATGATAAGTATGAGAGAAAGAACAAAAAGAAAGAACCTTCAAGGAGCCAGGACCTTTCTGCTAGACTTCATAAAAATTTAACATGAAAACTTCTGCCGAGAAGGCACACACCACATGCAAATCATATGCTAATAACATGCTAATCTAAAGTCTGGCCCTTAGAGCTCTGACATACACCTGCTATAGCCTTGGGGGAAATTCTGGGGAAACCCTTGGGTTCTAGAAAGTAAGGATTCCCCTTAGGGTCTTGTTATGGAATTTAGTTTCACTTTAGGATTGGAGAGAAGTTAAGTGTTTAATTTGGGATTAGGAACAGCGGAAGTGCAGAGTCATTGGTAGAGGTTAGTGCAGGATTCCACACAGGGCTCTGCTTTGTTTAGGAGACTGCTGAACTCACCCCCACCTTCTTGCCACCAGCCTTGCACCAGGCTTCTGTTGTCTTGCTGCACCCCTGGCTACCCGGCTCCCATTCTTAGGCTCACCTCTTCACTGGGACCTCCTTGTTTGATCACCAGAGAGACTCTGGGTAAAATGTCCCTGCTCTCTTCCCCACTCCCCAGCTTTCTCTCAGAGATTTTTGGCCACAGGAAGACCTACAGGTCTTAGCCCTAACAGTGTCCCTCCTTGGACGATGACAGCTGCAGAGGAAGCTATGAGGACCGGGTGAGCTGGCAGCTTCATTCCAGAGCATGGGGAAAGAGCAACGGAACATGAATAAATTCATAGAGCTGGCCCCTTGGCTCCCTGTGAGCCAAGCCTGCTCCCCCCACCCCACCCCACACACACACCAAATACAACCGCTGCCTCCTGCAGCCTGGCTGGTCACTGCAGCTCACAGCTTAGCCTGGGGATAGGAGCAGAAGATGCTCCAGAGAAGAAACCTGGCATCTGAAAGGGACTGAGGTGAGGGAATCAAAAAGGGGGTGATGGGGACTAGGGCTCCTTGGGTGGATGGAGAACTGGGAGGAGAGGGCTTCTGCTGAATGGAGGGAGAATGTGGGGAGAGAAGAGGGGCGTAGGGACTGGGGTGGATGAGGCCTGAGGCTCTGCAGGGGAGACAGGCATGAACCGAGACCTGCTTTCCCTGATCCATCCATCATGCAGCCTGGGGGAGCAGATCTGGAATTAGACATGCACAGGGCCGACATGGCCCTCAGCCCCCCGAGGAAGACAAATGGTGACAAAGACCTTGAATAAAATTTGTATTTATGGTTGCAGGAGGAGCCCTTCCCCCACTGACAGACAATCCTTTCTGGCCCAATCCTTTCAGGCAGGTCGGGACCTCGCCCCACTCCCAGTAAAGGCCCAGCCCAGCTCTAGTCCCCAGCCACATCTTTCTCACAAGGTATAGCAGGGGGTCCAGAGAAGGAGTATAGGAAATGAGAGATGAAGAAATCACTTTCTGCCGACAACTGTGCCCAGGTACACCTCGTGCCCTGTTTTACACAACATATTCTTCCACACAGCACACTCTTGGCTTTTACCCTACTCTCTAAAAGGCCTTGGCTGCTGTCTACTGTTAGGTCTCCAAAGGCCCCTAGCCCCTTCGGTCCTAAACCCCACTCTCCCAGCCTCTGACCTTCTATTCCCTGAGAAGACACAGCTACTGACTTTCCCGCTGCACTCTGATGAAAGCAAGCGTTTCTTCTTGGTCACTCTGAAAGCAAATATTGTCACCTTTATAGGCGAGTGGTTAATACCTAATCCAAATTTGAATTGTGTTACTATGCATAATCAACCAAACAGCCATTGTGTGGGGCCTAATTTCTCTATATTTTCTCTAGTAACAAACAATTGGGGAGGGAGGCTGATAAAGGCTGATATTAGGGCAAGACTCAGGTGGTGCCTATCTGGGCAGAGCAAGTGAGACAAACCTTCAGACTCTTTCTCACCAGGAGATTCCACGGGTTTCAGTCCCGAGACAGGAGAGCTGGCTTCTGTGGGTATCAGACTTTAGGACTAAGACAGAGAGACATACAAATTCCCTCTCCAAACAGCCTCACGTATGTATACACAAAGACAGCCCACAATTCGCAGCCCTACTCACCAGCAAGGCCAGGGTCTTAGGGTCACCCCACCACACACACAGAATCCAGCACCGTTACAACACACAGACCCACAGCCTAGCACTCTGGCTTGCAGAACCGCCCCGCCCCCGCGTCTTCCTCACAGTTGATATGTCACATTGGAGTCCGAACACGGACCTGGGTGTCTCTCTGCAGCGCGCCATTTACATTTCTCTCTCGATCTGTCAACCTGTCTAGGCTCCCTTCTCTCTGTCTCTGTCTTCTCTGTCTCTCCCGCTCTGGCTCTGGGGCTGTCAGCCAGTCTCTTTTCGTGGCTTTGTCTCTCCGAGATCTCTGTTTCTGTCTCTGATTTCATGGATGTCGTTTCCCTAGTCTCTCTCTCTCTCTCTCTCTCTCTCTCTCTCTCTCTCTCTCTCTGTCTCTTCTCTCCTCCTCTTCCTTTTTCTTCTGCTTTTGTGCGACCCTCCAATCATAGAGACCAGGGTCGGAGCGGAGGGAGAGTTGTCTTTTTCCATTCTGGCCAACAAGTGCCGGTAGAGCCCTTTGCCATATTCGGTATTTGGGGCACCGAGGGACGTGTCACCGGTGGTGAATCGCGTTTTATTTTTGTTTGCTATATGTAAGTCCCGTTCCCCCTTCTCCGCCCCTTGTTTAGCTCTTCAGTCCCCCTCTGAGGTCTTATATGTGTGTTGTAGGCTGATCTCTGTTTACCCCATCACTGTGTCCATCTTCCTCTAAGCACTGAGAATGTCAAACTCCAGGTACAGGGTGGAAAGTGAGGATGCGGTGGGGACTGAGACTCGCTGCAAAGCCCTGGGAGCAGGCAAGGAACCCGGAGACCCGGGGCTGGCGGGGAGGTGGGGGAGGTGGGGCGGCCTGCCCCGCCCCCGCGTTTCCCGCTCTGAGCGCCAGGGGTCGCTCCGCCTGCGGCCGCTTAAACTGACTCCCGCCGCGCAGCGACTCACACCACCCGCACTGCTGCCAGGGAGGAAGGTTAGGGACGCAGAGAGGGAGAGCGCTTGCGGGAGAGGGACGCCTGGCTAGGGCTCTGGCGAGGCCACGGCTGCTGAAGGAGGCAGGGAGTGCTTTCCAAGAGCTAAAGTGCAAAATCGACGAGGTCGCGTCCTTTGAGAGCCCCCGCCGCAGCTCACAGCCTTGGGACGTCGGGAGAGCGGGGAGAGGTCCTCCGGTCTAGCTGGGGTGGAAAAGCAGCGAGGGGAGCCCGGGACCTAGACACCCCCATCCGCGAGAAAGCAACTGTTTGGAGAGCAGGCATCTAGACCTGTGGGAAACCAGCCGTCCAAGAAGCTGTGGCTCTCAGGCACCCGAGGGTAATATCAGACTACAGGTTCTGAACCCTCAAGAGCTGTCCTTGGCCCAACTCACGGGGGAGACCTCCATCCTGACCGGAGGTTTGGGGAACAGGAGGAATCAGTTGGGGCAAGGTGGTCGAGCACAGCCGTCGGGAGATCCGGACCGGGACCCGAGTCCGCGGAGAGCCCCGGGCCTCCGCCGCCATTGCGCCCAAAAGTGAGGAGGATTTGTTGGCCCTGGCCGCGTCACGGCTGAGCCGCCGCAAGCGGGTGGCGGGCGCGGCCGTCGGGGTGGCCATGGTGTTGCTGCTGCTGGTAGCCATCCCGCTACTGGTGCACAGTTCTCGCGGACCAACACACTATGAGATGCTGGGTCGATGTCGCATGGTGTGTGACCCCCATGCACCCCGAGGTCAAGGCCCCGACGGCGCTCCCGCCTCGGTGCCTCCGTTCCCTCCCGGTGCCAAGGGAGAGGTGGGTCGGCGAGGGAAGGCAGGCCTACGCGGACCACCAGGACCCCCAGGTCCCAGAGGGCCCCCTGGAGAGCCAGGCAGGCCAGGTCCCCCAGGTCCTCCTGGTCCAGGCCCTGGAGGGGCAGCGCCCCCTGCAGGTTATGTACCCCGAATTGCTTTCTACGCGGGTCTTCGGCGGCCTCACGAGGGTTATGAAGTGTTGCGCTTTGACGACGTGGTGACAAACGTGGGCAACGCTTACGAGGCAGCCAGTGGCAAGTTCACCTGTCCCATGCCGGGCGTCTACTTCTTCGCTTACCATGTGCTCATGCGCGGCGGCGACGGCACCAGCATGTGGGCCGACTTGATGAAGAACGGACAGGTGAGCTTGTCCCTCTACTTAGCCCCAGATCTTACTAGTAAGTGTCTTCCTAAAATTCCCTGCACTCAGTTGCAACCAAGCTCCTCTCCTGAAACACTATCAGGGTGTCCAAGAATGCCAGACCACCAAAAATTTATGTCACTTAATTTAATCGAAGAGGAGGAATTGGGGGGCTGGAAAAGAAAGTCATCTGCTCAAAGTCTCACAGAGCCTTAGAGTAATGTCAAAGCTAGAACTCAGGACTGAGTCTCAACCTCACTCTCCAACCAACAACCATAGCCTGCCACATCCTATGTCTTTGGCGCTCGCTCATCTTATCCCTCAGCCTCTTCTCTCCTATCTTTACTGGGCTGTCTTCTCCGTCAGTGGGTTTTCCAGCCCGAGCATGGAACAAGCTATTAGGAAACCTGGTTTCAAGGAATTAGAATGGACTCTTGTTTTGGGTAGTGCCCATCTTTCTCTAGATGGAGTCATTCAGCTTGGATTTCCAAAGAAAGGTAGAAAAAGGAAGAAGACACTATTTTTGCCCATTTGCTAGGTAGCTGTCCCATTTGTTCACCCCTGGGGCCTGGGGCCAAACCTAGACCAGGTCTTGCCCTCAGCTAGCACTGAGGCTGTAGGCAGATGTGGAAAATGCCTGCTGGCTCAGGGTTCACATAGGTGGTGGGATGAACCAATTGGATTTGGGTTTGGAAAAGCTCTGAAACAATGGGCAGAAAGAAAGAAGGCCTGGTCTACAGGCCCTACAACCTCCTGGGAACCTCTTAGATGACACTATGCGCTGCCCCAGTGGGTAGTCAAAGTCATTGGCACCTAGGTTCGAGGGACTAGCTCCCCAAAAGACTCAGACATTTGAACTAGCAAGATGCCATAGGCTGGGTTGGAAGGAGCTGCCTATACCGCGCAGGAAGAGGAAGGTTTGGACCGGAGCAGTGACCTCTGAATGTTTCACGGAGGGGGTGGGGCCCTGGACCAGGCCTATGCCTCAGGGCTCCCAAGCTCCCGAACCCCAAGAGGACGCCACCCCAGCTGACCTGCTTCAGCTTTGGGGTCTGCTCCTAACCAGCCCTTGGTCCAGAGCCTGAAGAAAGGGAGTTGTTAGGCTAAGCGCGTCTACATGGGGTTGATAGTTAAGTGTCCACATGAGCCAAGTGCATCGGTGACTGTGGAGAGCCAAAGTGTAAGTTAAGCTTGGTGCCTTTCTGATTCGGTCTGCGCCAGCGATCTGGGAGGAGGCTCAAGTGTGTTGGTTTTGGAGGGGGCGGAATGGCGCAGCTCCCATTCTGTATTCCACGGAGCCAACACTGCGGCCCTGGGAATGGTAAATAATGATTAGAATAATGATGAATAATTAATGATTTAATAACCAGTCCCGGTGGGATGGAAACCGAGGGAAGGGGCTGACGGTATGACTGATGCAGACCAGAGATCCCAACCAAAGGCAGCCCTCCACATGGTGGGGGACCAGGTGAACACTCCACAGGGAAATTTGGGCCCAGGAGGCCAGAGAGAAACAGTTTATTTCCCTACTGTATAACAGGTGCAGATACATATATTCCCCAGTCCCACAGAAAAGCTAGTTTAGGAATTCTGATGGAGCATGGATGCCTAGAAGTATTTTAAAAGCTTTTTTTTTCTTTCACGAGAACAGCAATTCTAAGTAACATTTTCTGTATACAAAATATGGTTCTGAACCCAGTCCAGGGGTAATTTCCTCATTTAGCCCTAACCACCTCATGAGGTAGGAGCCATTATTTCAACCCCTTATCGCTCTAATAGAGGCCAAGAGATGGTACATGTGTACCCAAGTTATGTCTGAGAAGCTCCGCGGTCTCCTAGCTTAAGTGGTTCTCGACCTTCCTAACCCGCTGCGACCCTTTAATATGGTTCCTTATGTTGTGGTGACCACAAGCATAAAATTACTTTGTTGCTACTTCATAACTGTAATTTTGCTACAGTTATTTAGATAGTTAATCGTAATGTAAATATCTAATATGCAATTCCTGTGAAAGGGTCGGTAGACCCCAAAGGGGTCATGACCCGCAGGTTGAGAAACACAGTTTGCTCCCACATCCTCTCCCGTAGCCCATACCTAAGCCGAACTTGTTCCAGCAGTCACTGGACTCAACCCCCTCGGTCATTTCTGCTCTGCACAGGTTATAAGGTTGTGGGTCTGTTTTTTTTTTTTTTCGTCCTCTCTCACTAGGTCCGGGCCAGTGCCATCGCTCAGGATGCGGATCAGAATTATGACTATGCCAGCAACAGTGTCATCCTTCACCTAGATGTGGGTGACGAAGTCTTCATAAAGCTGGATGGTGGGAAGGTGCATGGCGGCAACACCAACAAGTACAGCACCTTCTCAGGCTTCATCATCTACCCGGACTGAACCCAGCACCTTTGTACATACGCGCCTTTGCCCGCCCCCTTGCCCCTTTGCTCCAAATCCACACCCACCTCCCGCTAGTCCTACCCAAGGTCCCATCCTCTGAGAGTCCGGCGACTCTGGCTCCCCAGGCTACCTAAATGGGCGGACTCTTGGGGCTCAAGGGTTTTAAGTGACGGGGGAGTGGAAAGTTGGGAAGTGGGATGAAGAGAGCCACTTAGGGCGGGACCATCTCGCTTGTGCTCCAATGAAACCCGGCTGGTCGTGGCCTTCCCTTCCGTCTGGAGCTGGGAGATCAAAGACTCACAGCGGGGAAAGGGATGCACCGGCAGCTTGGGAGGGGGAAGCACAGACAAGGAGCCTGTCTAGGAGAGAGCAGACTGTCACAGGTTAGATACCGGACCTCAGTAGCCACTTTCTTTCTGTTCCCCTCCTGCATCTCCATCTTTTCAGGCTCTAGCCAAGACAGCTTTCCCGTGAACTGAAGGAATCAACCACTTCCTTCCTAGTACTTAAAACCCATTTTGTACAGTACCCATTTCACCCCTCTCCACGTTAGGCCCTGCAGCTCCGGATGCTGTTACTTCTTCCAATAAAGTGAGGCTGGGGATTGTGTGGCTGCCTGACTTGCAGTTAAGTCTAGCCAGGCCTGCCTCTCTGGGAGAGGAATGCAGAGTTTGGCTTTGATATGGGAAGGATGAGCAGAGTGTGGAAGATTGTAAAGTTGGGTTTAGTGTGCCTGCACAGGAAGAGAATTCTAGCAGTTTCTCGCCCTTGCTATTGGTCTCTTTGTAGTTTTCTTTTTGCCCAGGGTGGTCTCCAACTCTTGGGTTCAAGAGATCCTCCTGTCTCAGCTTCCAGGTGGCTTAGGGTCACTGGTGCCAACTAAGAGTTCTAACAGAGGTACTCTAGATGAGGAAATAGCTGGTGACCCTGGAGTGGGACTGATCTCAAAGAGAACAAGTTCCACAATTTCCTCTAACCCACTCAAGAGTTTGCTGCAGTGGGCACGGCAGGAGTGGGAAGAAAGACAGCTTCAGGAGAGGAAGCCTGCAGTCCTGAGAGGTCAGTCCCTCTCACTGGAACACACTGCCACCGTGTGGCACGGGAGAGCGACAGCAGTAGCTGCCCTAGCGGAACACTCACAATTCATAGAAACTTTATTAAAGGATAAAAGGATGTTGGCTCCCAGTCCAATGGGCAGAGCAACAATAAATAAGGCTAAGAAGGAACGGGTGAGCGAGGCAGACTGTGGAGGCTGGAGTCACGATGGAGAGTCCTGTGGGACCACAGAACCAACTGGAATGAATTGCTGGAGAAAGAGAGAGACTGGGTCACATTCCCTTACACCTTGGTAAAGGAAGCAAGGCTAGTCCCCCTCCACTGTCCTGTGGGTTGCTGTGCAGAAGGTTCTGGCTGTAAACTGAAGGCTCACCAGGGCATCCTGCCAATCAAGCAACGCGGCCACAGGGTTGGTGCAGACCCGGATGGGTCCAGGAGGTGGGGTTCGGCTAGTGTAGAAGGCACACTCATCATCCAGACGAGCCTCATAGAAGCAGTGGATGGCGTTGAGACATGCTTTGAGGCGCTGCCTCAGAGCCAGAGTCCGAGGGGCCAGACTGCTGGGGCCTGAAGGCCATGAGGAATTTAGAGACTCTGGAGTTATATTCTTTCTGGGTGCTGCCCCTTCTCCTCCCCCACGAGCAGGGCCAGCTAGAAGCATAGGGCAAGAGAGCTCTTCATATACAGGCCAGAGGGAAGAAAGCATAGCATTGCCCGGCAAGGCAGGGCCCACTCCCAAAGAGACAGAACCTTTTCTTCATACCCTTCCCCAGCTAGTTCCTTACCTGACTGGCCTGTTGGGGACCTCAAAGACTGGAGTGAGTGGATAGGGGGGCTGGCACAGAGTGAGCTTTGTGAAGAGGTCAAGCTGGTGGTTGCTGGAGGCCCCTGACTCCAACATGGCTGTGGGCTGGACTCTGGGTTTCTAGCTTCCAGACAGTCAGCTGCCAATGGTCCTAGCTCCATCCAAGGGCAGGCCTCAAGGGGTTCAGCCTGTCCTTGGAGACTAGGCAGAAGGGGTTCAGGCAGTACTGGAAGGCAAGGCTCTGGTGGCTCTGGCTCAGCTATCCAGCATGGCACTGGGGGCTCTGGTTCTGTGGTAGAACTGGGCTGAACTACCTTGGTCTCTGCCCCAGGGCAAGGCTGTGGCTCCCCATGCTTTTCTGCACAGTGGGGCTGTGGCTCCTCACACTCTTCTGCAAGGTCTGGCTCTGTCACATCAGTGTGTTTTGACAGAAGGGAAGTTCCAGGATTGTGTTCTGGAGCATTCAGAGTTCTAGAAATGTCAGCCAGCAGGGGCTGAAGTTTGGTCATCTCTAGAGCAGAATCTCCATTAAGAGGGGCACACTTGCCCACTACCAGTCCCTCTATCTCCTGTTGCAGGAGCTGCTGCAGAAGACTGATGCGCTGTAGTGGGAGAGAGTATCCCAGCGTGTCATCACTGTGTCCACAAGGACTCCCCACACTGTCGACTCCCTACACCGTTCCTCCCGGCTCCCCATTCCCAGTCTTCTCATGGTGCAGAAGCCACCAAAGGTATGGTCACTACCACCAGAGGTGTGGTCACTACATCCCCACCTGCATCTTTAGCTCCTGGAGGTTGGGGGTTTTGAAGGGGTGAGGTCCAGAAGTGCTTGCTGCAGGTGGTTTCCCGGATCCCTTCTGCAACGTGATGCGACTCTCCTGGTCAAACAACCTTACAGCAATCTGCTCCTGCCACAGAGAAGGAAAGGGGGCAGGTGAGGAAGTCAGATTAAGGTGGGAAGATTGTCCACACCCTCTTGGGTGTGGGTCAAAGCTCTCTGGTGGCTCTAGAAGTCAGAGCTGATATTAGCTCTCAAGAAGCTGAGACTGGAGAATCAAAAGTTTGATGCCCAGATTGTTGAGATGTTGATACACACATACAAGAAATTTCTTCAGAATCTCAGACTAGCAGAAAATAGAGACAGACAGACATTCTAAACACAGGTAGGAAGAGTAGATGGAGAAGCAAGAGGCAAGCAGATTCTTTAGATAGTTCACCTACCTCAAATCACAAGGCTGCCAGCCCCCCGAGCCAGCAGGACAGCACCACAGACCTCAGTACAGGAAGCTTTTGCCACTTACCCAGGGCAGCGCAGGCTCTTCAGGGGAGGAATGAGGGGAGAGACCACTCAGCCACTGGGTCTGTATCAGACAAGACAGATTGCCCATGGGTGAGACATACTCTCCTCTTACCTATCTTACCCTCCCTACCCCCCACAGTACCTGCCCCTCTCCCTCAATAGTCTTCTCTACCTCCCCTCCAAGACAGGGTTTCTCTGTGTCTTTAGAGCCTGTCCAAGACTGGACATGGAACTAGCTCTTGTAGATCTCAAACTCACAGAGCTCCACCTGCCTCTGCCTCCCAAGTGCTGGAATTAAAAGTGTGCACCACCACCCGGCCCTTCCTAGTCTTAAATAGCTGGTGGTGGCGCACACCTTTAATCCCAGTACTAGGAGGCAGAGGCAAGTGGATCTGTGTGAGTTCAAGGCCAGCCTGGCCTACAGAGCTAGTTCCAGGGCAACTATGGCTCTTACACAAAAAAATCCTGTCTTAAAAAGACAAAACAAAAAACAAAAAAGGGGTCTTAACACTCCCCCCATCCCACACAGTACCTGCCCCTTTCTCTTCTTCCCTAGTCTTGGCCCACATCAGTTGTCTCCTCTGCTCTCTTACCTGCTGAACTCTGGGTAATGACTGGGCGGGTGTGAACTGGGTTTTAGGCCGAACAGTGAACCGTTTCAAGGATGAATATGAGGTCTGGGGAGAGATGTAGGGGGTAAGCGGGGCTCTCTAGCCAGACTTTACTACTCCTGCCCAGCCCAAGAGTTGTTGATACAAACCACAACTGAGAGGCCTGGGGAGGGAACACCTGAGCCTGTCTAAAGGTGGTAAGTTGGTGACAAAGGGTGGCACCACACGGCCAGACATGAGTTGGGCTACAGGGCAAGAGAAGGCATCACACATCGCATGGGAGTCAGCATTGCCCCGTGGAGGAAAAAGTGGCCTTTCTGAATTCACTTCCTGTGTCTTGTTCTCCCCAACTGCAGCAGCTACCTTTTTTTTTTTTTTTTTTTTTTTTAAAGATAGGGTCTCATGTAGCTAAAAGGCGGGTTCAGACTTCTGATCCTCCCGTTTCTACCTCCCCAGGCTGGGAGTGCACGCATGTGCCACCATATGCAGTGGCTCTCTCAAAAGAGAAACCAAGTATTGCTCCCTATTCACCCTTTCTCCCCCAGGCTTCTATTCAGCCCAAGAAAGGGCTAAGGAGTGACACTGTTGTCACTTGGACCCTCTTCCTCTTTTCTAGGCTTCGACCTCACAGCACTAGGTGTACCCTCTCCTCGGGACCTGTGCATCTGCAGCCCTCAGCTAAATAACTCTATATTCCCCTCCTTTTATCTATATGGCTCACATTCTCAACTCTTGGCCTCCACTTAACCTTCACCTTCTCGATGACAGCGCCCTGGACAAACTACATTTTGTAAAAATAGAGTGATTAGCAACCCCCTTAAAAATTTAAAAAAAAAAAATTTTTTTTTTTTTTAAAAAAACATGTATGTGTAGCTGTGTTTCTGTGCCCATGAAAGTCAGAAGAAGTCATCAGATGCCCTGGAGTGGGAGTTACAAGCACTTAGAAGTTGGCCAATGTGAGTTAAGTTACCAGTCCTAAATACTAATCCATTCCCCCCATCTTGGTGCATGGCCCAGGTTGTCCTGGAATCCACTGTGGAACAGCCAAAGTTTTCTTCTAACTTGCAATTCTACTGCCTTCAGAGAGCTGGGTTAAGTCATACCCAACCATGCATGGCTCTAAACTACCAATTTGACACCAACTCTCCTTCCCAAATCTTTTCATTGCCTTAAGTACTTAATTTTAGAGACGATATCACCACCTGACATCCTATATATTTTATATTTGCGGGTTTTTTTTTTTGCTTCCCTCTTCTAGAATATGCATATTCTGAACCTAGAAACATGAATACATTCAAAAGTCAGTTAGTAAATAATTGAAGGAATTTTTTTGCTTGTTTGTTTTTTGAAACAGGGTTTCTCTGTAGCTTTAAAGCCTGTCCTGGAACTCACCCTGTAGACTAGGCTGGCCTTGAACTCACAGAGATCCGCCTGTCTCTGCCTCCCTGAGTAAAGGCTATCACTGTCCTGCAGGAATTAATATTTTTGGTTGGTAGGTATTAGATGTGTCTAGGTGGCCTTAGCACTGATTTCATGGTGACACGCATGTATGTCAGTCTGTCAACCTCTGTTCCCAGGCTCCAGATACATAATAAAGGAAGTCAGATCCACTCTGAAAAGGGCTTGGTCCCAACTCCAGCAAACTAAGACCTAATAACATCCTGAGTCCTGGGACTACCCAACTCTACCCAGTGCATCTCCTGAACATCTCACCCCAATCCATCCCACGAGGGTCTCAGCTCACCCTGGTGTGCATGATTTCTCCAGTTTCTCTTAAGGGCACTCGTTGAGCCAGACCCAGTACGGCTCTCCCTCCTTCATCTGAACGAGGGACAGCCTCA